TCATGGGGTTAGGGTAGGACAGGGGCTGTCCTTGAGCCCCAGGAAGCTACCAGGAACGTGTACACTTCTGTAAAACCAAGGGTTGTCAAGCAGTGGAAAATCTGGGCTCCTGAAAGAGCTAAAAATACAGTGTGGCAGCCCCTGCCACCCAGTTCCGGAATCCCGCTTCTGCTGTTTCTCCCTCCCACCCATGGAAGACAAGCTCACTCCTTTGTGTTTCCCCCAACCCTCCACTGGCTCTGAGCCCAGAAACACCCCAGGCCTTATTCTGGTGCTGGCAAGGCGCCCCCTCAGAGCTGCCTCTCTACCCCTAGGCAGCAGCCCCTCCAGGGGTCCCCTGCCTGGCCTGTGCCTGCCCTAGCCACTTACCTCTGCATTGGCCCCTCAGCTCCCCAGTGCTAGCAGTCCCTTGCAGGGGTTGGGTGCAGAGGGCAGCACCTACCTCCCCAGGGCTTAGGTGCAAAGCCTGGCCTGCGGCTCCTCAAGGGATACCTGAACTGTCTGACGTGTCTGAAAGGCCCGGTGTAACTGGCTGCGGGGCCTTCTGGCTCCTGGAACTATATATAGTCTATGTTTCCTGGATGTAGCAATGAGGAAGTTGAGATGTGGGGTCCTGTGGCTCACTCAGATTCCCTAATGTGTTGGGACACCACCACCACCCTTTTGGGTGCCAGGGGACCCTTGCAGGGCTTCCTGCTGCTGTCTGTGCCTTGGTTTCTCTGTTTGCATGGCATGCTGGGTAAGTGGAGTCGGTCCTCCACGCCCACTCAGCTTACGTCTGATTACTAGGCAGGGGCGGAAGCCTCTGGAGTTCCATGAGTCAGAGTAGCTGCCCAGGCATGTGGGATGGAGGTGCGGGCAGCTCCATGCCAGCCTGGCCTAGAGCTTGTGGAGGAGGCAGCCAACTAATACTGAGAGCCACCCTCCCAGGCAGTGCCCTGAGGCCTGCAGGCCCCGATCCTCTCCTTTCTGGGAGTCCTGTCAGTGCTCAGATCTGGGCTGGTCACCATAGACTCAGAGGGAGACCCCGCCTTCATGAGTAGTCTCTAAGTGGAAGGCCTGGCCTGTGCCTGTGGAAAAAGTAACCCTTAAAAACCATGTATGTGGGCTGGAAAGATGGCCACGGTTAAGAGCACTGGCTGCTCTTCCAGAGGACCTGGGTTCAATTCCCAGCACCTACATGGCAGCTCACAACTGTCCGTAACTCCAGTTCCAGGAGATCCAGCATTTTCACACAGATATATGTGTGAAATATATATGCAAGCAAAACACCAATGCACATAAAATAAAGTTTAAAAAAAGAGCCTGTGTAAGCTGGCATGGTAGTGTGCACCTTTAATCCCAGTACTCTGTAAGTTCAATGCCAGCCTGGACTGCATAGCCAGTCACAGGCTAGCGTGGGCTACATAGTGATACCCTGTTTTTAAAAGAAAAACAATACAAAACAGTAACAAATACAAATACATGAGTAAAGGACAAGCTGCCCTGAGCCCCTGATCTAGGGATTTTATGTTGCAAAGGCCCCGCCCACTGCAGTCCCATGAGTGCTGAGTGAACTGTGTAGGCAGATGGGACAGTCTCCATGTCCTGGTCCCCATCTGCCAAAGCCAGGGCTGCAGAGCTAGCCCTTCCACCCTGGGATGCTGACTGGGGAAAACGGGGCCATCCCCCACACCTTGGGCAAAGCCAGGGCATCCAGGCATCCCTCTGAGTCTCTACCAGGTCTGGCTCAGAGTTGGAAGTGGGAGGGCCGGTCATCCACAGATGCCATTAAAACAGCTTCGTGCCAGCTGTGGTGGCACACGCCCATACTCCCAGCACTCAGAGGTACGGGGAAACGGTCAGGAGTTTGAAGGGCAGTCTCAGCTACACAGTAAGTTTGGGGTTCAGCCAAGAGGACATGAGGCCCCGTCACAAAACCAAAGCAGCTGCAGGTATTCCACCTGTGCACTCTGACCCCTGGCACTGGTTCCGTGCGGGTCCCCCTGCCACCAACCCACTCTGCAGTGAGAGCAGAGAGAGGTCGAGTGAATGTCCCTGAGACACACAGGTAACAAACACAGAGAGGTTCCACCCCAGCCTTGTTTGGCACCAGTAACTTCCTGGGTATTGTTCCCCAGGTCCCCCATGGATGCAGAAGCTGTGTTCAGAGACTGCAGTAGTGAAGGGGTGGACCCCGGTTCTGCTTGTTAGAGGTTTGAAAGCAGGCAGGAGAGGGAGAGCTTTGTAGTTTCGGGCGGGGCGTGGGGGAGGGCGGAGAAGGCCCAGGATGCTTCATGGAGGCCAGCCAGAAATGGGACACCCTGTTGCTTAGATTTGCCTTTCTCTGGTTGGTCCCGAGTTGGCACCATGGACACAGGGGATGAAGGCTGTCAGTCACTAATCAGGTCCCAGCTGTTGACCTTCCCGGCCAAAGCTGATGGACTGTGGAGTGCCCAGGTGCTGTCACGGTGCTAGGCCACGTCACCTGTTCACACTCAGTGTCATTCTACAGAGAGGCGGGAAGTCTGGCAGATGCCACCGAGGAAGGAGAGTGCTCCTCACTTTTGCACCCTGGTTTCCAGCCAGACTGACTCTCCCAGACGGACACAGTCATCACTAGGGCTTTGGGGGCATAGCCTCGTTACCCAGACACAGGTTGCCAGGAAAGCGAGCATGATTCTCCAGGGCCCACCCCCACAGATGCAGGGAGGAGCCCATCAGGGAGTGAGTCCACAGTCCTTGGACAGGGTACACACAGGCCAGGAGGACTGGGGAGTGCCAGAGGGGCAGTTGGGAGGCAAGCAGGTACCCTGACCTTTGTGTCTGGGGGCCTCAGGCCTGGGGCACAGTGACTCTGCTGATCCTGTTGTCCCAGGAAGATTGGGTGGGTTCAACATGAAACTGGGGCTCCTGGCCAGAGAACTCTGGATGCCAGAGGCCAGGTCTGGGTGAGTTCATACTCCGGCCACTCAGCCTGTGCCAAGGGGACAGGGCCTCTGGCCAATGGAGGCAGGGATGGGGGCGGGGAGGCCAGTCCTAGGCACCTCTTTGGGCAGCACAGAAGCTGAGGAGTGTGCAGAGAATGTGAACACAGTACCAGCCTCCCTCCACCAGCTCCGTTCTATGGTAAAGCTCCCACACCTACTGCCAAGACGTACTTCAAGGGTGTAACGCTGCCCAAGAGACCAGGTCCAGGCCGGCAGCTGGCAGCGGGAATGAGAAGTTGGAGGCAGGGCCCTGAATGGGTAGGCAGAGGCGGCCGGAAAGTCTTGCGCATCTGGGTGAGTAGATTGCTGGGTGGCTGAAAGGGCCTAGGACTTGGTGGAAGCAGAGATCAAGGGTAGGACCCTGAGTTCCCCACCCAGTGAGGTGCAGCACAGGGCCAGACTGATCTCCCTGGACATTCCCCTTACCTACAGGCAAGAGGAACAGCCCAGCCCAGTTTCAGGCAGAGACGCAGGGGAAGAAACTGAAGACTAAACAGGCCGAGTGGCTGGATGGAAACCCACCAGTAGGTCTCCAGGCCAATCCCTGCTATTCACCGGGCTGCTTGTAAAAGGGACCTCCTGGCCACCAGCACTTGAACGGGTGGAGAATGGGGAACCAGGCAGGGGCTCTGTCAGGCATGCTGGGCAGGCATGCTCTCCATCCGTGGCACCCACCCAAGGCAGCAGGGCCTCAAATGAGGACAGCAGACACCTGGGACCCAGAACCACACTGGCAAAGTGCCTGAGCTCTCATTTCATTCGGACGATGGTCTTCTGGGTACCTACCTCTTCAGCCTGAGGTCTCCCCTTCCCTGAGAGAGCTGAGTAAACCTGATACAAAGTGCACTAGCCTCCCAGCATTGAGTAGGTTCCAAGGAACACTTGCAGGGTCCAGAAAGTGTGAATGTGAGCACAGTACCAGCCTCCCTTCACCTGTCGAGCAGGTAAAATGCCTGTCCTGAGTCCAGTGGAGAGTGCAGGACTGGGCCCTTGGGATGGGTACGACTGTGGGAGCTTGTCCCACCAAGCCCTTTCCCTCAGTATTTTCCTCCCACAGCTCCATGATGCCTTTCGCAGATGCTAAATATAAGATCCCAGCCATACATGGTTGCAGGAGAGCCTGGGATGCCCCTGACCTTTGAAGCTGTCCCCAGGGGCTATGAGGGGCCAGCGGGGCCTAGGAGATGGCCCAGGAGAATTGCGTGGATGGAGGAGACAACAAGAGTGCAGTTTGTCTGTCTGCAGTTACTCTTTGAGGAAAGGCATGACTTGAAGAATGTTTTAGGCCAGACTTGCTCCCCGCACCCTACTTGGGGGGCATTTCCTATGTTGGAGTTAGACCTGTTGCTAATGAACCAGGTGAAGCTCTCTTTGTTCAGGGACTTACTTTCTCTCTGGGTGCACCCACCCACAGACAAGCCGAGACCAGGGGAAGCTGCCACCCACTCCATTAAGCCCTGGGCATCACATCACACTGTGTCCTCAGCCTGCTCCTGTGACTCGCCCCTCCTCCCACTCCCTCCATCCCCCCCACCCCCACCCCGGCTGTGGGCAGTAGGGAAGCGCCTGGAGCCAGATAAGGGAGCCTCAGAGATGCTGTTTTTATTGCACCATCACCGTGATGCCATAGCATATTCCAGCTAGCATGGCTGCCTGCTGCCTCCCCCAGGCTCTCCCAGGTGAACCTGGACTTGTCAGGACAGCACAAGCTCATGCCTCCATACCCAGGCACAGGTCTCTAATGGAGCTGCCTCTCGCTGAGCCTTGGGGTCTTTGTGTGTAAGCTAGGACTTTCCTGTCTGTTATGCAATCCAGAAGGAGCAAGAAGACCCTTTATCAGGGTCAGGAACAAAGTACCTGTCCCAACTTTCCACCACTGGGCTACAAGCCAGAAACCTAAAAGAGAAACTGAGGCAGCAAACAGTGCCTCCACTTGTCACTTATGGCCAAGCTGGCCTCTGCGCTGTTAATCTGTGGGTCATTTCTGTCCTCTGGTCAGGCTGATGGCCCTGTCCTTCTCTGTTCCTGCAGTTCAGCAAGATGTCTGTGAAGGAAGGCGCGCAGCGCAAGTGGGCGGCGCTGAAGGAGAAGCTGGGGTCTCCGGAATCTGACCCCACGGAGGCCAACCTGGAGAGCGCAGAGCCTGAGCTGTGCATCCGGCTGCTACAGATGCCCTCCGTGGTCAACTACTCAGGTCTGCGCAAGCGCCTGGAGAGCAGTGATGGCGGCTGGATGGTGCAGTTCCTGGAGCAGAGCGGCCTGGACCTGCTGCTGGAGGCCCTGGCGCGGCTGTCAGGGCGTGGTGTGGCCCGCATTGCGGACGCCCTGCTGCAGCTCACCTGCATCAGCTGTGTGCGTGCAGTCATGAACTCACAGCAGGGCATCGAGTACATCCTCAGCAACCAGGGTTACGTGCGCCAGCTCTCCCAGGGTACGCGGTAGGCCATTGTGTGAGGGCAGGGGGGCCTGGGGGCTCATCAGGGAAAGCTCAGCCCTCAGGTGACGGAAGTGGAGACAGGTCTCCCCATTCAGGCCACCGGAGGCCTTCCACCAGCTGCCTCTAGTTCTGTGACCACCAGCCTTATGCTGGCTCTACCCTCTGGCCTCTAGGTCCTGGTACATGAAACTGGTCCCCACATACACTGCTTGGCTCCAAGCCTGGTAATAGCGCAGTCACAGTCCTGCAGGCCTGGTCCACACCTGCTGAGGATATCACCCTCTGCCTTTCAGCACCTTCTCTGGTCCCCACCCCTCTCTCTATACCCAGTTGGCCACCCCTGGCCACACCTCCTGATTCTGCCTTTGTATACCTCAAGACCAGCTTTGTCTTCTGGCTTATTGCAATGCCTTGTCTGCAGCAAGAAAACCAAAGTAGGTAGTAGTCTCTGTCCCTCAGTGGAAGCAGCTAAGTCCCACTGGGGCTTAAGACCTTCTATAGAGCAGTAACTAGTGAGATGGTGTCTGTGTGAGCAAGGAAACCAGAGGTTGCCACATGTATCTAACCCAGGACCCACACCAACTCTAGTCTGTCTCCCCAGCCTGGACCTGATTGTACCCTTCCATCAAGTCCTTTGTGGCTGTTCTCAGTACAGCCAGATGAGAAAGCACCCAAAGACTTCCTTCGCTCAGGGTAGTGAAGGCAGGGGCTCACAGGATGACGAGGCATCCCAAGCTGTCAGGATTGCAGTTGCTGTCCAGTTTGGAAAACATAGAACCTGGAGCCAGCTGCAAGGGCTAGACTGGGCCGGCCTGGGCCAGGCTCTGTAGACTCCAGAAACCTACTGTTGCCTTCAAGCCTTTCCCTGAAAGGGCCTGTCTGTGGCCCAAGAGGCAAAGTCAGGGTACTGGGAAAGATCAGTATGGCAAAGCCTGGGCCTGGAAAGTTAGCTGGAGTTGGCATCCAAGGCTGCAGCGCTGGATTCAGATCACAGGTGTGTTAAAGACTGATGGGGGAAGCAGGACAGTGGGCCTGCTGAGACCTTCTTGACCCTCCACAGCCCTGGATACATCCAATGTGATGGTCAAGAAGCAGGTGTTTGAGCTGTTGGCTGCTCTGTGCATCTATTCACCTGAGGGCCATGCACTGACCCTAGATGCCCTGGACCATTACAAGGTGAGTAGTGGGGGCCTGGGCCAGTAGCACAGGATCTGCTGGAGCATGTCCTGATCCTGCCCAACCTACAGACGGTGTGCAGCCAGCAGTACCGCTTCAGTGTCATCATGAATGAGCTCTCAGACAGTGACAACGTACCCTATGTGGTCACCCTACTCAGCGTGATCAACGCCATCATTCTGGGTCCTGAGGATCTCCGCACTCGTGCGCAGCTGCGGAGCGAGTTCATTGGTAAGTGCCCTCACCGGCTGGCCAGGCATCTAGAAGACCTCCAAAGTGCCTTCTGGGCCAGCCCAGCCTGTGCCACACTCCCTGAGGAAATGGGACTACAACAAATCCTGCCCCTACCCCACATCCCCTAGGACTCCAGAGTAAGGCACTGTCCCAGGGTCTGCATCCCTCCTGCCACCCCCTCCTATGGCAGATAGGACAGCGGTGCTGAGGGTTCTGTTTTGAAGCTGGCTGGGTGGCAGGGGCAGACGGGTGGCCCGCTTCCAACTCCAGCTCTACTCCTTCAGGCAGTGGCCGCTGAACCAGCACTAGCTTGTATCTAGACCTTGTCCCCTCTGGAACTTTAAGACCCCCTGATGGTCTTAAAGGAGGGAGATAAAAGAGAGTCAGGAGGCATGTGACAAGGAGCTGGAGGCAGGGAGAGGCCAAAGGCAGTTTCCAGACTTTTCTAATCCCATCCGTCCATCCCAGGGCTCCAGCTGCTGGATATTCTGACCCGGCTACGGTGAGTCCATGCTGTGGCTGGTTGTGCCAACTGCCCCCTCCCCAACCCTTCCTTGGGGTTCCAGCCACCTGGCCCAAGCAGTGTCTCCAGAGGGGCTAAGGGGTTCCTTCCAGGAGTGGACCTAGGACTCAGGCACTGCCCAGGGCCAGATTGCAGGTTAGCTGGCCGTAGCTGTGGGTAGGACTTACTTCTGCTGACGGTTGCTCACCTTGCCCTGAAGCTCAGGTGTAACACAGCCCGGAGTCTGTCTGTTGACCCTGGTGTCTCCAAAGGCAGCCCGTCTAGTTGGGAGCCCTAGTCCTGACTACAGTCAAGACAGACCCCACTGGGGGCTCTTTACCTCCAGGAAGTCAGCATGAGCAACCTTACAGACTCTGCTGTGTGTAACTAGCCCAATGCAAAGCTCGGACCTGTCCCCGGGTGGGTAGTGAGGGGGTCAGTTATTGGCCAGGCTGAGGTGATGGCAGCACCTGGCCCCAGTATACACCCTACATCTGACTCAGGCTAAGCCCATCCCCTCTCATGTTTCATGGTGGCCTGTCTCATGTGTGATCTTGCCTGTGTTTTCTTTAACCCTCTACATGAGGGCCAAACCTCACCCATACCTGTCATGAGAATCTACCCTGCCCCATCGCTGGACATACCCAGGTGGCCCCTGGGCAGCCTGGCAGGGTGGGAGACTCAGACCCATTAATTACCACTCAAACTGCCCTTCTTGCTGCCATGCCCCAGGCTGGCTGCGGCACACTGGGCCTGGCTAGGAACTCTGTGTGCTCAGGTGGGCTGAGTAGAGGTAGCTGCATGCAGCCTGGATCTGTGGGGAAGGGTCCCATGGGGCAGCAGCTCAACTGGTTGTCCTCATCCCCTAGAGATCTAGAGGATGCTGATCTGCTGATCCAGCTGGAAGCCTTCGAAGAGGCCAAAGCGGAGGATGAGGAGGAATTGCAGCGTGTTTGTGATGGTATCAACATGAACAGCCACCAGGAAGTCTTTGCCTCCCTGTTCCACAAGGTGGGGCTTGGCTGTCTAGGGCCAGGGCCTCTGCTTCAGTCAGCCCCACGATGGCCGGGCACAGAGCTGGGGTCGTAAGGCCGAGGCTGTGTTGTCCTGGTAATGGTGGGATGCAGGACAAGCCTCCAGAGGTCAAAGCTGTCCAAGCTGGCCGGGCCTTCCTGTGCCTCAGCTAGGTAGTCATTACTGGGGACTTCAGAGAGCTTCAGTGCCAGGTGAGGGGTCAGGAGACCGAGTTTATGTGCCCCCCAGCCCCAGTCATTGAATGCGACAGCTCTCATCTGGGCATGACGGTGATAGGTAGAAACTAGGGGTGCCATTTAACGTCTCACAGCATGTAGGGCGACGTGTTACCACCAGTAACACAAAGAGCTCTGCCTCTGAGTCACCCATCACCAGGGCTTTAGTGAGGTGAAGGGGCCATAGGACAGGATGCCCCCGGCACATGGGCTGGTGGGTATCAGCCTGCCCACAGGAGGGGATCGCCATCTACCTGTCTGCTTTGGTTGACACAGGTGAGCTGTTCCCCAGCATCAGCCCAGCTGCTGTCGGTCCTGCAGGGCCTCATGCACCTGGAGCCCGCTGGCCGCTCGGGCCAGCTGCTCTGGGAGGCCCTGGAGAACCTGGTGAACCGGGCTGTGCTCCTGGCCAGCGATGGTGAGAAGCTGGGAGGGCATGGCATGCGGGGGCACAGCCTGGTGGGAAGACCCTGAGGGAGGGCATGGCATGCGGGGGCACAGCCTGGTGGGAAGACCCTGAGGTCTTTGGCCATGCGGGGGGCCATGTGGGGAGGTGGCCTCTTTTCGCCTCGTTTCCCTCTCTGGCCCTCTCTCTCCCTTGACCCTGCATATTTCCTTCCTGCAGCCCAGGCTTGCACCCTGGAGGAGGTAGTTGAGCGACTGCTGTCCATCAAAGGGCGGCCCCGACCAAGCCCCCTGGACAAGGCCCACAAGAGTGTCCAGGCCAACCTAGGCCAGAACCAGGACAGCTCCTCCCAAGACACTACTGCTCCCACAGCTAAAGTGGAAGGCCGGCAGCCAGTAGTGGCTCCTACCTGCCAACATGTGGGCAGCACCCAGCCCTCCAGTGATGACCTAGCTCCGCAGCCAACAGCCCTTCAGCAGGCAGCCTCACCTCTACCTACCCCACCGCTCTCCAGCTCCACCCCTGTGCTCCCCCCACCCCCACCCCCACCCCCCCTGCCGGGCCCAGGGGCCATATCTCTTCTCCCAGCACCCCCAGCACCCCCTCCACCCCCACCCTTACCACCCCCCTTGCCAGCCTCAGGGACCATATCTGCTCCTCTACCCCCACCCCCACCTCCCCTGCCAGGCTCAAAGGCCACATCTCCCCCAGCACCTCCGCCACCTCCACCTCTGTCTGACGCCTGGAGGACCCTGCCCCCACCCCCACCCCCACTCCCTGGCATGGGGTGCCCACCTCTCCCCCCTCCCCCTCCCCCACTGCCTGGAACAGGCGGCGGGATCCCTCCCCCACCTCCTCCCCTGCCTGGTTCCTCTGTCCCGTCCATGGTGGGTGCTGTGGAGGAGATCATTGTGGCTCAGGTGGACCACAGCCTGGGCTCAGCCTGGGTCCCCAGTCACCGAAGGGTGAATCCACCCACACTGCGTATGAAGAAGCTGAACTGGCAGAAGCTGCCATCCAATGTGGCACGAGGTGAGCCCTTGTTCCAAGCCAGCCTCTGAGGGGGGTAGGTGCATACTGGTCATTCCTCCTGTGAGTATCCGCCATTCAGCCACCTTTGCTCAGTGGGGACAGCCAGGCCCCTGTCAGGGCTCAGTTCTTTTGTGTCTTGCATGGAACTTAAAGCCACCTCAGAGCCCTGTGGGTCACAGGTGCCTGCTGCCGAAGGCCCTGCCCCGCCTTCCTCCGTAAGGCTCTCTGTGTGGTGCCCTCGGTGCTCAGGGAAGGCCAGCCAGAGAGAGACCAGGGCAGCTACCAGCATGGATGTGTGTGCCCACATGCATGCACATAGCTTGACTACAGCTTGGAGGCTGGGCTCCGGGCTCCTGTTCAGTCCCCAGAGGCCTTGGCACACCTGCCTTTGGACCCACAGGCCCACATTGAGGATGAGTTTCAGCAGGGTGCCTTGCCTGTCCCTCCCCTGTAGAGCGTAACTCCATGTGGGCAACACTGAGCAGCCCCTGCACAGAGGTGCTGGAGCCTGACTTCTCCAGTATAGAGCAGCTGTTCTCCTTCCCCACGGCGAAGCCCAAGGAGCCCTCTGCTGCCCCCATCAGGAAGGAACCCAAAGAGGTAAGAACAGTGATGGAGGCTGACCCATGGCCTCCCTGGGTTGGAATGACCTGCTCTGCCCACCCTCCAGATGCCAGCTAAAGGTGCGTCTTCTAGGTCACTTTTCTAGACTCCAAAAAGAGCCTGAACCTCAACATCTTCCTGAAGCAATTTAAATGGTGAGTGAAGGACTTAATGTTGCTGCCAAACTTGGCCCCAGCCAAGCGGCCAGCTCTGCCCGAGCCTCCCAGGCCTGCCCAGCAGTGCCCCCTGCAGGCCGATCAGGTCCGTGCATGCTCCATCCCCAGGGCAGGAAGCTAGCTGCCACAGACTGTCTCATCTAAGATTGTATAAGCTGGGGTAAAAGTGAGGCCCAGAAAATCACTGAGGTAGACTCCCAGACCACAGGAAACTGTGGCCAAGTCAAGGGAAGACTAGGCCCTGCCTCCCAGTTTCTAAACCCTTACCTAAGAGCCCCCTACAAGAGCTCCATGGATGCCCATCAGCCGCCCCCATCTCTAAGCATGGCAGGGGACAAGGGGAAGCGGGAAATTCATGCTTTTCGACCCCGATCCTCACCCTCTCCAGCTCCAATGAGGAAGTCACCACCATGATCCGGGCTGGAGACACAACCAAGTTTGATGTAGAGATTCTCAAACAGCTCCTAAAGCTCCTTCCAGAAAAGCATGAGGTGAGCTGGGGCCCAAATCAACCAAAGAAGCAGTGATACCAAGGTCCTGGCCCACCTCACCCCAGTGGAGAGCCGCTGGAAGGCTGGGAGCCACCACGGAGCTTCATGAGGAGCCGGAAATAGGCAGGTGTTGGGCAGGCAGACAACTGGTTCCTACATGTGGCATCCATGCAGATTGAGAACCTGCGGGCGTTCACTGAGGAGCGGGCCAAACTGGCCAGTGCTGACCAGTTCTACGTTCTCCTCCTGGACATTCCCTGGTGAGCAAAGCAGCCTGGGATCCCGTGTAGCCTGTGGGGAAGGTGAGCTGGAGCGAATAGGGCAGGAGCCAAGCTTGGGTGAGGAAGAAGGGGTCAGGAATGCAGCTGTACACAGTCCCTAGGGCCCCGAGAATGGGTCATCTAGTCTGCATCTAAGTGTCACCATGTACTTCGTCCCCTCTCAGAAAGCAGAGGCGGCCTCTTAAGTTCTGAGGCCAGAGTCTTCTGAGACGCTCCGGGCCCCCTAGGCTGCCCCCCAATTACCCAGGCCTTACTTCTGTCCTGGGGACCGGCCTGGAAATGTGCATGTTCCCAGGCCAGGCCATGGGGACCCCTCCCTCATCCCATCCCCCAAAAGCAGAGCATGTTCCCAGTGGCAAGCGTGGTGGAGCCTCCAGGCCCTAACCCCCTGCTCTGCTGCACCAGCTACCAGCTGCGGGTGGAGTGCATGATGCTATGTGAGGGCACGGCCATCGTACTGGACATGGTGCGGCCTAAGGCCCAGCTGGTGCTCGCCGCCTGCGAGAGTGAGTGGGGCCCAGAAGCCTACGGGGCTGGGAGGGGCATGCCTGCCACACGTCAGCCCCCGCTATAGCCCTCTCGCGATGGCCGCTGAGAGCTGGTGACGTGCTGGCCTTCTCCACCGAAACCCACGGTCACCTCTGCCGCTTCCCCATGACACACAGGAGTGAGGATACGTAGTCCAGACCCACAGGTGTAGCGTGCATGCGGATATATTCATGTTCAGCCGCTCCCATGCAGACAGAAACACAAGGGCGTGTATACATAAGTGTACATGCCCCTTCTGTGAGTGAAGAGTGGTGGAGCCCTGCTTGGCCACCAGATCAGGGACACAGATGGGCTCCAGTGGCCCAAGGACCACTCACTTCGGCGTGATACATGCCTGTTCCCATCTCAGCCACTGAGCCAGGAGTGTCCTCCCTGCAACCCAACGGACAGGGACCTGAGAACTAGGGTGGCCACAGATTGGAAGGGGCGCCTCTAGCATTCCAGAGTCCTCTCCCAAAGAACATGTGATGGCCGTATACCTTCTGGGGTTGAGGGTTCAGCAAATGTGGACGTTGCAGACAGTTGTTTCGAGAGTCCCTCCACCTGTTGATGAAGGAGTTCCTAGTCCCCCGTAGCCCCTGCCATGTGTCCTTTCTGGTGCTGTGATGGGCCTGGGGTCAGGAAGCAAAGGAAGCAAGCACCCCCTGGGGACCCTGGAGGCTTTGGCCTTCCCTCAGCCCTGCCCGTCCGTCACAGGCCTGCTCACCAGCCAGCGGCTGCCCATCTTCTGCCAGCTGATCCTCAAGATCGGGAACTTCCTCAACTATGTAAGTCGGAGCCATCCTGTAGCTGTGTCCCACCACACCCTGGGAGTCAGGGGACTCACCCCCGGTCCCCCGCAGGGCAGCCACACGGGAGATGCGGACGGTTTCAAGATCAGCACATTGCTGAAGCTCACAGAGACCAAGTCCCAACAGAGTCGCGTGACGCTGCTGCACCATGTGCTTGAGGTGACCTCTGGGGGACCCGTCGGGTGGGGCGCCCCCTCCTCATGCCACCCCCTACGCTGGCCTTAGGCCCATTATTCCAGAGACTGAGCCACAATACTGCCCATCCCCAGCAGGCCTTACCTACCACCACCCCCATATACATTGGGACAGGCCCTCTTCTCTCTCCAGGACATCCACCCATCTCTGGAAAGCAAAACTGTTAGAAGATCACAGGCCCGCGGCAGGATGTTAGAGGCCCCAGGAGGGTCAGAGGACTGGTGGAGGTTCCACCCAGGATTGTGCAGGGTGATATCCACAGGCTCAGTGGGGTCCCTGGGATCTTAATGGGAAATACTGGGCACATTGTGTTACAGGAAGTGGAGAAAAGCCACCCAGACCTCCTCCAGCTGCCACGGGACTTGGAACCACCCTCTCAAGCTGCAGGGTGAGCGCTCCTGCCAGCCTAATGCCTCAGCAGCTCAGGCCCCAACCTCCGATCCCAGTCTCCTGGCAGCAGGGCCTGGCCACAGCTGACTCACAGCCCTGTACCTCAGGACCCCCTACCCCAAAGAGTGCTGACTCACTTTGGGACAGGACCGTGTCCGGTCTAACTGTGTGACTTAGGTCAGAACGTGTGAAGCCTAGAAGGGATGAGGTCAGAGTCTGGCACAGCCTCTCTACAAAGTGAACCTTCACAACAGCGTAAGCTAGGTCATGCCACCTCATGATACAGATGAAGAAACTGAGGCTCAGGGAAGTGGTGTCGTCATCCTGGAGCCTCAGCACCCAGCAGAGAGGCTAACTGGACACCAGCTCCAGAGTCTGTGCTCCCAGGCTCCACTGCCCTGGGAGCTTTTGGTCCAGCAGCTGCTGGGCCTTAGGGCCAATCAGGCAAGAATGGGCCCAACAGCTGGGCTAAGGTTCCCAGGTATGCCCATCATGGCACAGGCCCTGCTCTACCATGAAAAGCCAGTATCCTAACAGGACTGGCTGGTTTGAGTGTCACAGAACAGGCACCTAACCCACCATACAGAGCCCTCAGGATTGATGGCTTCTGGGACCTGCAGTGTGAAAATTGTGATGAGCCCAGGGTCAGCAGTGGGGTGTGTGGAGAGGGCTAACATAGTCTCAGGGACTGTGCAGTCAAGGACCCATTGTGACTGGTGGTCAGCTGATGCCTGATGTATCTTGCCGATCTTGCCCCTCGGTGCCTTTCAGAATCAACTTGGAGATCATCCGCTCAGAGGCCAGTGCCAACCTAAAGAAGCTTCTGGAAACAGAGCGGAAGGTGTCCACCTCAGTCCCTGAGGTGCAAAAGCAGTATGCTGAGCGCCTCCAGGTAGGCTGGGCAGTGGCAGTCTGGTGGCTGGCAGAGGAGGCTTCCCAGTACAATCCAGGGAGGAAGGCAGATCCTGGGTGTCCAGGACCATGTAGAGCGAGTAGGTGGGCGAGCAGCTCTGCTGTGAGCCCAGGCCAAGGGGACACGAGAGCCTGAGTCAGCAGAGCAGCTTCAATGGTTCTGTTCTAGTGTTTCCTGTAGGGTATGGACTCCATGGCCCCAGGCTAAGGCTCCCCAGGTACATCCAGCATGCCACAGGCCCTGCGCCCAAGCGTCCTGTGCCCAAGGCCTCACCTGCATGCTCCCCTGGCTCACTGGGTAGTGACTGAGACCTATGTCCCCAGGCCAGCATTGAGGCCTCTCGGGCACTGGACAAGGTGTTTGAGGACATTGAGCAGAAGAAGCTGGAGCTGGCTGACTACCTGTGCGAAGACCCCCAGCAGCTGTCTCTGGAGGACACGTTCAGCACCATGAAGACCTTCCGAGACCTCTTCACCCGTGCCCTGAAGGTGTGGTGGGCCCAGGAGGAGTTAGGTGATGAACCCCCAACTAGAGTGGGGTTCCCAGCCAAGCCAGGCAGAATTCGCCCCTTTGTTCCCAGCTGTGGATAGGGACAGCTGTGAGCGCCACCCTCCTTGTCCCTTGGTATACCCACTGTGGGTTACTGGGTTGGGTGACAAGGCTCCTGTCTGTCTGAGCAGGAGAACAAGGACCGGAAGGAGCAGATGGCGAAGGCAGAGAAGAGAAAGCAGCAGTTGGCAGAGGAGGAGGCACGGAGGCCGAGGGGCGAGGACGGGAAGCCTGGTGGGTCTCGGGGGGCAGGTGGGAACAGTGACAAGCCTTGGGATCCAGGTGGGGCGCTCTCCTTCCTCTCCCGAGCCTTGCAGTGCTTCCCCAGCTCTCCTGGGGCTCCCTGGGGTGGCCTAGGGTCTCGGAGCGGCTCTCTGAGGTCTGTGGCTCTGCAGTCCGGAAGGGACCTGGGAAACAAGAGGAGGTGTGTGTCATCGATGCCCTGCTGGCCGACATCAGGAAGGGCTTCCAGCTACGGAAGACAGCCCGGGGCCGAGGGGACACCGAGGCGGGCAGCAGAGTGGTTCCAGCAGATCCTCCAAAGGCCACAGAGCCTGGTAAGACCCAAGCCTGTGACCCTCCCCCGATTACCTCACTGCTTACCTGTGCTCGCCTCCAGGAGGCCTTCTGGGACCTTCTACACTCACTGCCCTGGAGACACTAAGGGGAGGGTGAGGGTGAAGGCCCCGTTGGCACAACTCTGAAAAGGCCTTCTGAGAGGGCTGTGCCTCTCCTGGACATTGTCTTTATAGCCTTTGAGTGGCCAGGAGATGTGGGAGTTGGTGGTCCACTGATGGAGTGAGTTCAGGGCACTGAACTGAGGTGTTAAGACAGGCAAACCTTAGGAAAGGCTCCACTACTGGGACTCTGGAAGTGGATGGTTTTTATGGTCCGTTGGATATCCCCCAGTCTCCTGGGTATGGCCAGAATGAAGACACTGCCCTGCCTTGGCCCATAAAAAACCATGCTGGAGGTCCCTGAGATTGAAGTTTGGAGTAGTTTAGGAAGGCTCAGGGTCAGCAACACTTCCAGGGTGGGACCAGAATGCCTAAGAACCTGGCCCTTGCACTTCACTGACATATCCCTCCATCCACAGCAGCTGCCACCAGCCCTATACAAGCCACAAACCACCCTGCCTCAGAGCCAAGCTTGGATACTACGGCAGCTGGCGAGCCACAGGGCTGGGACCTTGTGGACGCTGTAACCCCCAGCCCCCAGCCCACCCAGGAGGAAGGTGGTCCCCCAGCCCTGGAGAGGCGCTCTTCCTGGTATGTGGATGCCAGTGACTTCCTGGTCCCTGAAGATGCCCTGAATGCCCAGCCCTCTGAGGGGGTCTGGCCAGTGACTCTGGGAGATGACCAGGCCCTGAAGCCCCTCGAGTTCTCTAGCAAAAAGCCTCCTGGAGTCCAGAGCTCACACCAGGATGCTATGGATCCTGAAGCCTTGTGGGGTGTCCACCAAGCCAAGGCTGACAGCACCAGAGAGGGACCAGAGGATACAGCTGAGCGCGGCCACAGCACCCACCTCCCCTGCACAGGCCCAGGAGAGGATGAGGATGAGGACGACACAGCCCCAGAATCCGCACTTGACACGTCCCTGGACAGGTCCTTTTCTGAGGATGCAGTGACAGATTCCTCGGGGTCAGGAACCCTCCCCAGGGTCCGAGGCCGGGTCTCAAAGGGGACGAGCAAGCGAAGGAAGAAACGCTCCTCAAGGAACCAAGAAGGTAACTGGGAAGTGGGCTGTGGTGAGCAAGCTGGGGGACATATGGGTCTGGCACGTGGTTAGAGCTGATTGTCCCATGACAGGGCCTGGGACCTCTCCCTGCCATCCAGCTGGTCCCTCCCCTATCCCTGCGGGTACTACAGGCTCAACCAGCGTCCAGGAGAGAGGGTGATTCAGTGGGGACACAGCACTTCACACAGAGGGTGGCGGCTTTGGGGGCCACTGCCAGCACCACCCTCACCTGCAAATTCCTGCCTTCACACCCTTCACTTCTGCAGGGAGTGGAGCAGGGTGGCCCTGGGCTCTCGCTGATGCAGGGTGGTCTGGCACTAAGGTCCTGGCTGTCTCTGCCTTTGTCACCGTGACCAGAGAGTCTGGGCTTTGGTCTGGCGGTTTGTCTCTGCCCCTGACCAAGAGTGTTGGCGTGGCTAGCTTGGCCCCCTCAGATCCCACCACCCTGAGTTCAGGGCTGCCCACCTGTGATAAGCTGATGAGTGTGTTTCTTTTATTTGAAAGCAGAGTTTGCCCCTGATTCTGATGATAATAAAACAAAAAGGCTGTGTGTGATCCAGTGAGGTATGTATGCAGCCTGGCTTGTGCTGACTAATGATAGCGGCGGGTGCCGGGGCCTCAGCCTGCTGCCTGGCCCTCCTGGGCACTAACCTAGCTTCTCTCCAGCCCTCTGGGTATATCAGAAAGCCCCAACCTTGGCTCTTGGTGGTGGTGTCTCTGCTGTTCCTGCCTTGTTGGAGAAGGCCCAGCTGCCCAGCCTTGCCTGCCCTGGGTTCTTTTCTTCCTTGGCTGGACACAACCTCAGAGCTGGACTCCAAATGTGTTTCCAAGAAGGGTAGATAAAGCCAAACTGGGCTCCCTGCTTTTGTGGGTACAGTGTGGGATCTTTGGGGATGACTGTTTCTTGGTCCTGCAGGACAGACTGAGGTTGTTCCTATCCGTGTCTTGGTCCTACCCATGGCCATGGTAATTCTGCAGCTTTACTAACCTCAAGTCCCCAGAAGACACTGTCCCTCTGCATGGGATCAATCCTCCCAAGACTATTCCAACTCTCCCATGGTCCAACTTAAGGCCAAGCACATGCCCAAAGAGACTGTGAGGAAATGGATGTCTCAAGTAATACAGATGCTGCCAGAGGCAAAGGCGCATGCCCCCCCCCCCCCATAGCAGGAGCAGAAAGGGATCGGTTTAGATGTCAAGTCTTCCTCATATGTGCCATATGGGTCTTCTAGACCCCATTCGTGGCAAGACAGCCAGGGCCAGTAACATGGCCCAAGAGCTTAGAGATGCTGTTGGACCAGCTTGGGCCCTGCTCCGTGGCCAGGCTTCATGAACAGAGGAAGGCCCAGCTTACAACAAAAAGCCTGACCCCATCCATGAGCTGTGAGGCCAGGATGGACAAATCCCAAGCACCTCTGGCCATGCTCAGGGACCCTGGGTCTGCCTGGCACTTTGAACCCACTGGCCACTAGGCTAAAGTCTCAGGATCAAGGTACAAGGATGAGGGGTGTTAGTTCATTGTAGGCAAGACCCACAGGGAGGTCGGAACTCCACTACTCTTGGGGCTCAGCCTACACGTTATGATTAATACACATGAGTCTATTTAATGGGTAATAGGGATTTATTCCTTTTCAAGAGGTCATGTACGAAGGCAAGAAGCACCGTCTCTTTCAGACCGTGTAGCCCAAGGCCATGGGCGGAGCAAATACCTGCACAGTGTTCTTCCCTCGATTTTTTCAGTGCTGTTAATCCTGCATATGGATTGCCCCATTCTGTAATCCCTTTTTATGGAGACCAGCTCCTGTATCCCTGGATCGGCAGCCTCTCCATACTGAGTGCCAGACTTGCTACACCCCTGCCTTGGTTGTTGGTTCATTTCCCCACTCCCTGTGGATGTCCTGCTAACACCCTGGGTGAAGTTTTGACAGCTCCACTCATTTCTCCACTCTGTCTTGAGCAGATTCTCAGACTCAAGCCTCCAGGGGGTACCTGGACCCCCACCCACCACTGGTGGGAAAGCAGGCTTTTTAGGCAGCACAGAGTGTTGGGAGCAGGGTTCCTTAACAGGGCAGGATGGTGACAGGTCAAGTATGTAGCTGCCAGCCCAGGGCCCTCCCTGGTCAGCACCCAGCCAGAGAGAAAGCAGGAAGGACCAAGTCCCAATACGGGTTGGTGAGGCTAGATAGTGGGTATGGGTCTGAGATGTGAGAAGTAGGCCACACGGACCCCACTGCCCACGAATCGAGCTCAGGTACCAGGCCTGGCTAGGACAGCCTCCGTAGGAGCAGCCTGCTGGTGTCACCTTGGTTCCATCCACTCTGATGAATACTGCTGCCCCAGGGAAGAACCTGGAGTCAGAGTGGACCTGGATGCGCCTTGGCAGTGGCAGTGAGACCCTGCGGTGGGCACCTATAGCTTTCTGAGAAAGGCTCCTCCTGACATTGTCATTTCCTTCCCCCACAGGCCTCAGGTCCAGGCCCAAAGCTAAATGAGTGCCCTCAACGGCTCAGCACAGCAGCAGGGTGCTGGATGTGCTGCCTGGAGAGGCTCTTCGGGGCCAGGCTGGGACTGGGCCCCCCGAGAAACCGAAACTCCGTGCCTTACCCAGCCAGGATCCTTGGAAGCCTTGGCCATTGATGTTAGGACCTGGCCTGGCATCACCCTGGACCACCTGCACGCTTATAACCTCACAATCTGCTTTGCAAACCACTACCCACCCCGTCGCATGCACCACAGGGGTGGGAGGGAGCCTCCCGTCTGGCTCTAGGGAGATAGGTGCAGACACCTGCAATGGGCTGCAGCATCCGCAGCCTGCCTCCTGGGCTCAGTTGATTTTTAGCTGAGTACTGTTTGCTGCATCTTCATTCTGCTGTGGCTGAGTTGGGGATAGTGAGGGAGGCTTGCTGGCAGTGCTGGGGTGGGACCTAGCTGGTAGGCCCCAGGGAACAAGGCAAGCTGAATAATGGATGGTGACCACAGCAGCTGCCTTCTCCCTCAGTGTCTGCCCAGCAAGGAACAGGCTGCCCCTGCTCAGCCCCTTTGCCCCCACTCCCAGGTATGCACTGTTGAGTCTGGAGTCCAGCAGGGATTTTAACCAATAAAGAGTAACCTTGTCTGCCATGGCTGTTGTATGTATCCCATGGGAATGAGTGGTGACATTGTGGTGAGGGTCTGGCTCCTGTGGGACTCCCTGGCGGGACTACATGGAAGGAAGTGAGTGGGAGAAAGGCTGGGTGGGAGATGCGTGGTGTGGTGACACGTGAGTGGCCAGGAAAGTCTACTCTCCTTCCAGATGTGGAAGAGGAGCAGGTGAGGAAGCACCAATCTGGAGTTTGTATCCAAAGGGCAGGACCTGGGCCCCGTGCATGAGTGATCTGGGGCTCTAGACGCAGTCATCACCCCTCATGCCCTGCAGCAGATAGCAGGGTGACACCTGAAGATATGTACTGACAGTCTTCAGCAGGTCGTCACCTGCCATTGGAAGGGGTGGTGGGCTGGCTAGGGTGCAACAGATTATCACAGCTTTCAAACCCCTGAGTGGGTGATGGGCAGCATGGGTATAGAGCCTGGGGCCCGGTGATGTCCTTAGGCAACAGTGAGCAGGTGCAGGCCATGTTCCTCGGAGACCCTCTTTAAAGAGGGCATGCCCTGTGCCCTAGGTCCCTGCCAGTGGGGATCCCAGCCCAAGAGGGAAGTAGGGACCTGGGGCATGGAGGCAACGTTGGAGCTCATGTCACTACCCATGCTTAGGCACCTGCTGGCCTGGCCCAGCCCTCTGGAAGCTGCTGGGTGTCTGCCCCTCAGCCAGGGCAGAGTGTCCCTAAATACTATCTGGGGACCCTGTTCCCAGACTCACAGGAAGGTCACACAGTGCAGCCGCTCCTGTGCTCGGGATAGTAAGCAGTAGTCAGTCCTCCCTTGTTTAAACACTCAACCACTTGCCAGGCGCCTGCTGAGGGTCCTTGAGGGAGGTGGTGGTGGGAACTAAGACCAGACAAGGCAAGTAAGTGGTAAGCAGCTCCCGGCTGCCGTGGTGTGATGGCTAATTTGCATACCGCAAACCTCACACCACATACTGCAAAGCTTTTTTGTCACTCTAAAGGCTCTGTGAAGGTCAGCAACTATGGTCAAAGGGCCTAGAGAGACGGCTCAGCAGTTAAGCACACTGGCTGCTCTTACAGAGGACCCAGGTTGCTTTCCCAGCACCCTCATGGTAGCTAATGCCCCCCATAATTCTAGTCCCAGGGAATCTGATGTTCTCTTCTGACTTTTGTGGGCAACAGGCATGCACATGGTGCACAGACATACATGCAGGCAAAACACTCATACACATAAAATATTTTTTTAAAAAATCCATGATCAAGCCAGGCGTGATGGCACACAACTTTAATCCCAGCACTGGGAGTGGGGGGGGGGGGTAATCAGAGGCAGACTGATTTCTGTGAGTTTGAGGCCAGCCTGGTCTATAGAGTGAGTTCCAGGACAGTCAGGGATACACAGAGAAACTCTGTCCCAAAAAACAAACAAAAAAAAAAATCTATGATCAAAGTTTTCCATTACCCCAGAATTCCTTCATACCCATGAGCATCATCTACTGTTCTGGCCCTGCCCCTGCCATCTGACTTCCTCTGGGTTGGCCCATTCTAAGCATGTCATATAAATGGAAGCATTGAACACATTTCCTTCTGTGACTGGCTGCTTCCAATTGTTCTCGAGGTTTGTGGGAGCAGTGTTTCACATCTCATGGTTGAGTCACATTCTGTGATGTGGCTGGATTGTGTTTCTTTTTTCCATTCAACTGCCTCTGCGTGGGGGTCATTCTGTGTGAGGGTATGCAAAAGCTAAGCGGCACGTGCATGCTGGCCTGCAGTGGACTGCTTTCGTCTCTGCTGCACACACACACACCTGGGCTGCAGGCTGAGCCTGTGTTTAACTTTATAAAGACTTTTCCAAAGCTGCTGCCCTATTCCACTAGGGATATTTTTAATCTTTATTAATTATGGGGGTGGGGGATGTTTGTCACAGCATACATGTGGAGATCAGAGGACAATCTTGGAGAACTGTTCTTTCCTACCATGTGGATCAGGGGGTGGAACTCAGGTTCCCAGGTTTGGTAGCAAGTGCCTTTACTAACCAAACCATCTTGCTGGCCCCTTGGGCTATTGTTTCTAAGCAGCTTAACTCTGCCTTCTCACTCTGGAGCTCCCGGATATTGAAGTAAAACTGAATTTTGAATTAGAGTTAGAATGCCTACCCCATCAGTCAAATCTGCAGAGCCTCAAGTAAGGGCAGCATTTCACCGACCTGGAGACAGCTGCTCCCCCAGCCTTCTTTCCCCACTGCCTACTGGAAGTCAGCCTGGTGGCTAACAGATGCGGAAGAAGCCAGCCCTGTGACAGCTCTGACGCACCTGGCACCTGCAGGCCCAGGGTGCCAGTTCATGGGCATTGACTGTAGGTGTCTGTAGGTGTCTGTGTGGCATGGTCTCATGCTAACCCAGAGGGAACCATAGGTGGTGCTATGCCTGCACACCCTCCCCCTAAGGCCATGCAAAACACTGCTGAAACCACTTGTCTGAGGTCACAGAGCTGCAGGGCCAGAACCCCTCAAACTTAGTGACTGCTGTGCTGCCCACCACCCTGGAACGGGCTCGATGAGGGGGTGGGGGTGCTAATTTCGGCTGAGCCTTGTGACTGTCAGGGCCCCAGCTGTTGAGCTCGAGTGAAGCTATTTTTAGAAAAGCCTTCCCCCTCTCTGGGCCCTTGGCTATTTATAGTCCCAGGCTTAGGAGAGTCAGTGCCCCAGGACCCATCTAAGCCCCCAGAGTAGATCCCTCTGAGCCCCAACCTATGCCTCTTACACAGAACCCCAGGAAAGGGAGCCAGGACCCTTTCAGGCTTACAGCAACCTCCCGGAGGGCAAGGGCAAGACAGGGACTGAAGTGACATTCAGCATGGGCAGTCTCTGTCTCTGTCTCTGTCTCTCTCTTTCTCAAGACAGGGTTTCTCTGTGTAGTCCTGGCTGTCCTAGGACTTGCTCTGTAGACCAGGCTGGACTTGAACTCACAGAGATCATCCTGCCTCTTTCTCCTGAGTGTTGGGATTTCAGGCATGCACCACCACAGCCCTGCTCCAACACAGGCATTCTTAATTCATAATCTCTCTCACCTGGAATCAAAACTCATTATCCCTTGCATCAGTCTGCTAGCCTGTCTCCTCCCTCCCTCCTCAGAAACTGCTGTGCTCCACACCCCGCCTCCTATGACCCCTGTCCTCTCTTGTGCACCCCCACTCCGTTCCTGTACCAGCTGTTTCTGTCTGCTCCACTCGGCATGCATCAGCCCTTCTCGGGTATTCCTGCCTGCCCCGGCCGCCTCTCGGGAGGTCTTGGCCTGAACCACTAACTCTATATCCATCCCACTTCTATCAGTTTGTCCCTCAGCATTGTGGCACTGAGTGAGGTCGGCAAGGACACGTGACCTGCCAATAAATGCGGTCGCTCTCTTCTGGAGGTCGTGTCCAGACTCAAGTCCCTGACTGCTTCACCCACAGCAACTGAAGGAGGGCAAGTGTCTATGTCCCCGTGTGAAACAGAGGGACACAGATTACAGCGACCTGCACAGCCAGGGAGGTAGGAGGGAGGTAGCAGCAGTGTGGCTGGGGCTGGCTGGGAACAGCCTCTCTCCCCCAAGCTGGGAGGTGGGGGACAGGCCCTCAGAGGGTGTGTCAAGTCTCCCTAGTCTTGTGACAGGCCTGGGAACTGGCCCCAGGACTACAAGGAGCCTGACGGTCCTATGAACCTGTCCAGGAGTCAGTCAGCACACTCCGGAAGCACATATGACCGCCCCCAACGGGGTGGGGCAGTCCTTCCAGGCAGAGCCTTCCTTTGTCCCTGTTTCCAGCCTAGACCGACTTGAGCTAGCTAGCGCAGGGCATAGGGTGCCCAGGAGTGGCAGAGGCCGTTGCCACTGAAGTCTGGTGTGGGTCTCTTGGAAACCTGAACCCTGTTCTGCTCCTGTGTCCCTGAAGTTGCTCTAACCGGGGTGGTTGGGGGTGCTTCATCTTACACTTGGTACTGGAGTCCAGAGCAGCATGCCACCTCCACAGCATGTCCTGGGCCCGGAGGGGTGACTATGTGGCCCGGTGGAGAGAGCCTGTCCACAGCTAAGGTGACTTTCTGGGCGGTCCTCAGGAAACCAGCGCCCAGTCATGGACTTGAGATTTTACCACCGGACAGCAGGAGATTCCCGCGGGCAGATCCTCCAGGTTAGCGGCAAGGACGCATTTGTAGTTCTGCCGTTGCTAACAGTGTCTTGCCGGGTGAAAGACAGCCACCTTCGCAGCTCCTGCAATCCCAAACCCTAGTCCTGGCAAGCCAGGGGGCAGAGGTAGTGTCCAGGTCACACAGCACTGACCCCACCTCGCGTCCCTGGATGCTCTGGGTCATTTGCTTGCCCGAATTGTGTCGGGGCGTCTGCGCCCTAAGTGCGCGCCACCTACTACGACAGCGACAGGGGCGGGGAGCTGTGGCCGCAGGTCACCGAGGCGCGTCACCGCACGCGCAGGACCCGCCCCCGGCCCGCCCCCAGCTCTAGGCGGCCGCATTTAATGGTGCGAGAGCGCTGGCGGCGGCGGGCTCTCCTGTGGCCCAGCGCAGCGGACCGACTAAGCCAGCATGTCGGGGACCCGAACCTCCAACGACCGGCCCCCCGGCGCGGGCGGAGTCAAGCGGGGGCGGCTACAGCAGGAGGCGGCGGCGACAGGCTCCCGCGTGACCGTGGTGCTGGGCGCGCAGTGGGGGGACGAGGGCAAAGGCAAGGTGGTGGACCTGCTGGCCACGGACGCCGACATCGTCAGCCGCTGCCAGGTGCGGGCCAGGCGCCGAGTCCCTCCCCAACCCGCCCAGCGAGCCTCTCCCCTTCCCTGGGAACCAGACGAACCCTGTCCTCCTGTGCCCTGAGTGGGTCACTGCCTTTTGGATTCCTCCCCTCCAGGAGCACCTTCCCCTTCCCCACTAAACCCTTCCTTCCCACACACACACACCCTCTCACACAACGCTCTTGTGCTCCCGCCCACCCAACCCCTCCCCAGGGCAATGGCCGGGACCTGAGCTAAAAATAT